GGGGGGCTGGCCCCTCATCAATGACATGACTTTTTGTTTAATTTTCATATGCAGTCAAACTGAATAGTAGATGCTTTTAACCAACTAGAAAAATGTTTTTTCATTCTATCCATATGGTTTTTATTAAATAGATTCACTTATATTAATTTGTGTTTTAATTGTCTTTCATTTGTACATATAAAAGAAAGTTGAGTATGGATGAAACTTTATTGTTAGACCACTTAAGTCGTTGCAAAATTTAAGGATGACTTAACTGATATTAATCTTAATAATAATGCTTAATAATTACTAAATTAATGGCAAGATTGTATTAGATCAACTATGGAGTGGGTAGGACTATTAGGGAGTTGAGTAGTTTCCGAGCTACTCAGTTTAACATTAAAATTATAGGATAATAATTATTATTTAGAGGTATAATAAGGTTAAATTGATAAGTTTATAATTATTATTTATTTTAAATTAAAAAACTAAATTAGAACTACGCAAAATTTGTTAATTTAGCATATCATGATTGAATTATTGTTTAATGGAAACATTTTCTATTAAAATTATAGGAAATGAGCTCGAACTCAAATTTGTGTACAAACTAAGCTCAAGTACTCGAACTTGCTTGAGTTCATCTTGATAAGTATTCGAGCTCGACCTAACGGCGAAAAAAAAAAAGAAAGATAATATCAGCTCCAATAAAAAAATAAAATTACATCTGAATTTTTTTTTTTTTAAGTCAATCCAATTTCGTGTTCAAGAATCATTATAATTTTGCAAAGTGGGTGAATTGTCAAGGATAGAAGAGCTTGGCAAAGAGGAGTTCGTTCCAAGTATCTTGAAGGCCAGGCAAACACCAGTGAGTGCAATCTGCATAGCTAGCAGGATTTGCTAGTTGCTCCTTTGTTAATGGATTCCACTGCTTCTTGTAAATGGAGGTGTGGGCATCCTTCCGATAATTGGAGAGCTGTGTGATGTTCAGAAATGTGATTGGAAACTTTGATTGACTGAACACTTCTCCAATCACCTTCATTAAGCTTTTTTTAGAATCTGATCCCCAATATGTTGGGTCTTCTATCAATGTTGTTTCGTTGTAACAATTTCCACCATCTTCACCTCCCCATTCAATGCTCCTATTTCACCAACAAAAAATTTCAATCAACTTCTAATTAAGCTTAATTAACGTGGCAGCTTAGTACGCCACGATTCTAATACCTATATAGTCAGTTACTACTTGTAATTCATTTTAGTTGTCGCTTTAACCTTTTATACACAAGTATAGACGTATTGAAGTTAAAATGACAACACAACCGGACTGAAGGTGGTAGTATTGTAGGTATAGTCTTACTTACTTTACATGAGTAGGAGACATGCTGGTGAAGAATACCCTGGTATTTTTGGGATCCATATTTTTCCCCACCCATCTTACCATGCTTTTCATTGCCATACGGTATGCATCCTCAGTTGTCAACTCTATTATTTCTTTCTCCTTGTCATCAAAAGATCCTTTCCTGTATCAAAGAAAATGTAAGATAAGATTAGTATAAAGTGGGAGGGGAGAAGTAATTAGACAAAAAGAACGTTAATAAGGATTTAGGACCATACAAGATTTTGATCTTTTGGCCAGTCACCCACCACAGGTAGGTGTTAAAGACTATAATGTCGGCAGCTTTCCAATGTTGACCGTGTTTGTTAATGGAACCTTTCCTTACAATTCTGTCTGTTATCCTATGAATAACAGCATTGTCTGAATTTGATTCCAAAAGAAATGGTGCCCAATAGAATTCAATGGTGGCATTGTACTCCTAAAATCCCCAAAAAAAATAAAACAAATCCCTATTTAATTATATGTAGAACAATAAAGTGAGAAGAAAAATGAAAGTAAATTAGATTATTTAAAGTGACCTTGGCCGTAAAGACGGTAAGGGAATCAAAGGTTTCCATGGATTTGGCATGTTCTGGAATAAGTCTGTGAAGAAGGCAGACCATGGAAACATACTGACCCCGATTCAGTGAGTCTCCCACGAACATCATCCTCTTCCCCCGTAGCATTTCCAGCATCAATGTGGCATTGAACCTGGAAAATTATCTATTAATTCAATCGATAATTATTTTAAAAAATAATAACAATTCCTAAAAGAGGGGTTATGTGTATTTTTTTTAAGGTATTGGGGACAACTGCACTTTTTTCAGAAGTTATGACTATTTTGTAATTTATCCTTCAAACTCATACTGGATCTCAGACACAGAGTCACAGACAGCCGCCCCACCGCCGCCCCACCGTCCCTACTACAGATCCTAAACCCCCTTGACTTTCTTTGATTCCGAGGAAATCAGTAAAGCTTTGTCTTTGAGAATTAACATGAAAGAAGGCTGCAGAGATAGCCGGAATGAGTTTACCTCGGAAGGGAGCAGCCATGCGGCTGCCATCGCCAGTGCTGATACTCCTTCTCAGGTCTACCGTGCTCCTGACAAGTCAACTGTGGCTGAATGTAAGGACACTCCGATTCCTCGTACAGCGGCCTGTTTAGCTCGTCCCTCACCCATCTCCCGCTGAATACATCACACCCTTCTTCAGTTCTCCCTACGGCGAACGGCGGTCTCTCTGTTTTGTCATGATCTAACCCCAAAACAAAACGAAAGGCATGCAATTCAATGACCTAAGAATCAAAGTCGACTCTTTTTTTGAGCAATTATTAACTCACCGGTTCTTGAGACTGGTGGGTCCGGCCGTTTGATCTTGGGTTTGCCGAAAATGAAGAAAAATTCCTCACCGTAGAGGACGGCGACCAAGACTAGGAGAGCTAATAAGGTGAGGAGGTAGGGGGAGAGACGGATTTTCCTAAGAACAGAGGAGGAGGAAGAGAGAGCAGCTGTTTTCATGTTATGCCCTCTTTGATTTGATCAAATCAACGTAACGTGCTCCTGTTGTGTGATTTGAACATTTGGATGCTCAAGACTCTCTTAATACTAATAATATTGATTTGATTAATTAAATTGTTTTTATATGACTGTTAATCTTGCTTATGTTAGTATTAGAAATATAATCACAAAAATAACATGTAAGGGTAGTTTTTTTTTTTCTTTTTTTGCAGCCAGAGACTCCACCAGTCTCCTTCAGTCCAAAACAGTTTTTTTCTTTACTTAAAAATAAGCTATTAATATTAAAATTAAAAAATTTATAAAAACATTTTACGGGTCGTGATTCAGTGTTCACTTACTGTCCCAAAAAGTAATTCATGAAGCGTGAAGGGTAATTCGTGATTTGCACTTTTAAGTTTTGAATTCAATATCCCCAACTAACACTTCTAATTTTTAATAGTTGCCTTTATAAAAATATATATATATATACTTTTTAATTTGCTTCTTCGAAGAATGGCTCTACAATTTCTAGTTAAAAGGAAAAGCCAGGTCGCCTCGCTATCCAAATAGATGGAAGTAAAATTTAAAATAAAGTTGCAATTTTACAAGTAGAGTTGTACATTGACTAAATTTTTTGTTATCAGTTTCGTACTGATATACGTTGGTATGAATTGTTGTATGCAATAACGTAGACGATGAGATAAAGCAAATGTTTTAAAGGTAAGGTGAACTATCACACACTCCATACTCTTTTGGTAGAAGTATAGAGCAAGACTCACAGTGTAGGAATCAATTATTACAAATATAAACAGACTAAATATGAACACAGCATGCCTCGAGCTACAATTTTCCAAACCATTTGTATAATAGTTTAAAAAAAAAAAAAAAAAGATTTGGACTAGGTAGGACTATACAACAGAAAGACTATCCCTGCTTGATGAAAAGTTTGTTGGTGAAGAAAATTTCCTTTTCAACAATCACTGGGAATTATTTTTCAAAAAAGGATTAATTGATCCACATCTTGTTAAATGAAAGACAGTGCGTGAAGTCAAGGATAGAAAAGCTTAGTAAAGAGAAGTTCATTCCAAGTATCTTGAAGGCCAGGCAAACACCAATGAACGCAATCTGCATAGCTTGCAGGATTCGCCAGCTGCTCCTCTGTCAATGGATTCCACTGCTTCTTGTAGATTGAAGTGTGTGCATCCTTCCGATAGCTTGAGAGTTGTGTGATGTTGAGGAATGTAATTGGAAACTTTGATTGACTGAACACTTCTCCGATCACCTTCATTACACCCTTTCTAGAATCCGATCCCCAGTACGTCGGATCTTCTATCAATGTCGTTTCATTGTAACAGTTTTTGCCCTCCTCACCACCCCAGTCAATGCTCCTATATATAAACAAATTAATTTTGATACTCAATTAAGAGCTCCTTTGATCTAACATGACACAATTAAAGCCTCACATTTCAAATTATAATGTGAAATCATTGCTATACAGGTATTTAAATTTATCATTTTTTATTGACTAGTGTTTTACTTATTAAAGATATTTATGTTATAAATTTTTCATGATATAACAAACTTTCTTCTAAAATTATAGTTCTTAATTGAGAAATGTATTAAGTTTACTTACTTTCCATGAGTAGGAGACATGCTGGTGAAGAAGACCCTTGTCTTTTTGGGATTCATATTTTTCCTAGCCCATCTTAGCATGCTTCTCATTGCCATACGGTAAGCGTCCTCGGTTGAGACCTCCACTATTTCTTTATCCTCATCATCAAAAGATCCTTTCCTGTTCAAAAATTAAACAACTTAGTTAATATAAAAAACGAACAGGGTAGTAATTATTGTTAAATGTTAATATAGACTAATTAAGACGGTACAAAATCTTCATCTTGAGGCCTGTCATCCACCAAAGATAGCTGTTGAAAACCATAATGTCGACACCTTTCCAATGTTTGCCATGCTTGTTTATAGAACCTTTCTTTACAACCCTGTCAGATATCCTATGAACAATTGCATTGTCTGCATTTGATTCCAAAAGAAATGGTGCCCAGTAGAATTCAATTGTGGCATTATACTCCTAAAAACACCCAAAACAAAATTAATTAAGTCCATGTTTACATGGTAAGAAGAAAAACAGGAGAGATGAAATTTTTTCAAGTGACCTTGGCTGTGAAGATAGTGAGGGAATCGGAATTAAAGGTTTCCATGGATTTGGCATGTTCAGGAATGAGTCTATGGAGAAGACAGATCATGGAAACATACTGACCACGATTCAGAGAATCTCCCACGAACATCATCCTCTTCCCTCGCAGCGTCTCCAGCATCAATGTCGCATTAAACCTGCATAACTTTTTTGTTAATTAAACCAACAACAATTCAAGTTTAATCTACCTGGAAACAATGTTGCATTAATTGAAGTCTACTCGGGAAGAGAGCAGCCATGAGGTTGCCACCGCCAGTGCTGGTAGTCCTTATCTGGTCTGCCGTGTTCTTGACATGTCAGCTGCGGCTGTATATAGGGACATTCTGACTCCTCGTAGAATGGTCGGTTCAACTCGTCCCTCACCCATCTCCCACTAAATATGTCACACCCTTCTTCCGTCTTTCCTATGGCAAATGGCAACTTTCCCCTTTTCTTCTCTAACCCCAAAACAAAACCCAACTCAGTGATTAAGAGTTAAATACAAAGAGCACTTGATTTTCGACTCTTTTTCTTTTAGTACTCTAACAGTTGGACTCCGTTTTTGAGTTAGTTAAGTGGACTCACCTGTTCTTAGGGGTCGATCTATGCCGAGTTCGAGCTGACCAAAGAGGCACATGAAGTCCTCGCCATAGAGGACGGCAACAAATACAATGAAAGCTATTAAGGTGAAAAGGTAGGGAGACAACCGAGCTTTTCTAAGCACGGAGGAGGAAGAAGAAGAAGAAGGCAAAGGTGTCTTCATTTTGTTGTTTTAGTTTGGTCACTGCACGTCGTAGAGTTTTATTTTTGCTGTTTATAAGGTTTTTGAATTGGGATCGGATGAATATAGAAAATGAATAAGTTGGATGCGTATACAAACATCATATGTTGTTAAGATATGCTGTCTCAAACTGTTTGAATTGATCATTTGCTTTATTGATTATTAATTCTTTTTAATCATCCTTCAATTATCTAATTTGAAGCAAATCACTGCAGTTAACAGTTGTATTATACTAATGTATTGTATTAGTTTTTTTGCCATGTACGGTGTATTTGTTTAATTGGTATTTTATTTTTTATAAGTATTATTTATTTAAGTACAAACCATCTTAGAAGATTTGTAAGGAATTACCTTTTGCAATTATGATGACCTCACAAAAATTTAAACATTGATTGACAAGCTTACTAGATAATTAATTAAGTAATTAATTAGAGCACCACATATATATTGATCAGCGAAGGAGTTTGTTAATTCTTCGCGTTGTTGATTAAAGTTTAGTTACAAGGCACTGAAAAAAAAAAAAGTTTAGTTATAAGGCTATTTTCTTCATGATTTCTAACTATGATGTTAATTGTCAGTTTTTGACTGTTAGAAATGGGTTAATATTCATCTCCATGTTAATGGTCAGCTTTTAAGTTCTAGCTTCTTTACATTTTCCTAATCAACTTTTGAAGCTTCTAAAGATACACAATTGCTGGTAATTGCTGACAGCTACTTACCGGCTGTACCGTATCCAACAAGAAATTGCAACCCAAGATGTATTGATGTTCCATGGAACATGAAGATGAAGACCACCCCCAGTTTTGCTTTGCTTCAGATAGTTACTTCTATCTAAAACACTTTTTGGAGAAGAAAGTGATGAGGACCTGCCTGTAGGCAGCACTACGCTAGTCCACTACCACAGCATCATTGCTATAATTTCCCTTGACTTCTAAGTTAAGTTGTCTTTCCAAGATGGCATATCATTGTCCAACATCTATACCTTACCAAGAAAAATAATAAGAAAAACTTTAAAAACTGATAGTGTTTGCAGTATTCTTTAATGAGGTTTAGGTGAGTATTTGGTGGAATTTCGGTGTCAAAGTTGTTGGTTCTTATGTGTTTTCTTAGTCTAATCCTCACCAAATACAGAAAGAAAAAGGCTGTTGGTACCCAGCTGAGTGAGGTCAAATCTATATTAGAAATGCATTTTTGAGTCTAGAGTGCATACATATTGGGCGCTAAAAGTATTTAAATATCTTAATAAAATTTATTAGAAGCGTTTTAATACTTTCATAATTTAGAATGTATTTTTATATTCAATCCAGACTAAAAACATCATTGTCAAAATATATAGTAATGAACCTACTAAAAGGATCATGTGCACTCGTGGATCCACCTAATAAATAATGGCTGCAAAGTTTTCCATGGAGAAGGAATCTCTGCTAGGGTTTGGTAGAGAGATCTTTGCTTGCTTTAAGTATGGTGATGCAAAAAATCAAAGAGAAATGCTAATATTGAAATTATTGAAGTCGTAGTTTAACTGTAAAACAAAAGTATTAGAGTCATCATGTTTGCCATTTTGGGTTTACTTATACGTGAGTAGAAGTATTTTTTGTACTCCACTTAATAAATTACCATTCGAAAAAAAAAAAAAAAAAACTAAAGTTATCATGTTTTAACTTATAAGTTTGAATTCACTTGTCTAAGACTGAAAAAGGTTGGTTTGCAGAAATAAATTGAATGATATTGAGTCAAAGAAGTTTGAAATTCCAATGTAATTTAATTATTTTGATTTCATGTTCCTATGAATGGTCCAATGGTCAACTTAATACATGTTAACATGGTAATAGACATATTTCAAGAAACGATATGGAATTAGTAAGGTTTCTCGTGTAAGATTCATTTCCAATTTCAAAATAATAAAAAAAAAAAAAAGAAGAAGAAGAAAAAACCTTCACCCAAAGATCATAATATTCTCAATCTTTCCTTGCTGTTACATCTATAAATAATAAATAATTAAATGTTCCATTATTAGGTAAAGGAGATCATATAATCTGGTTTTTCTAGATGTAGCACTTAAGTTATAGAATGAAAAAAGGCCCCTAGGTGTTTTTAGATGATTACCAATTAAACAAAAAGCTGTGTTTTTGTTTACAAAAATAAAAATAAAAAAACCCCTCTTTCCTCGTTGCTTCTGCTCCAAAGATGTTGCAGCATGAACAGGGATCATCAAAGCAACTTTCTCACCTGCAAAGGTAAAATTGCAGTTTTCTAACAGAAAAGCCATACCTTCCCCATATATGACTCATTTATGTTTAAGGTAAACAAAGAAGCATATAGATGATCCAAAGAAAGTCATTTTAACCTCAGATTAACAAAAGAAGATAACTAAGAAAAAAAGAAGATGACAAGGGGGGATTTATATGACAGACAAGAGTAGTAATTCTGCAGAGGATTCTAAGAATCTGATTCATAGGTCACTCTCCTCAACTGTAAACCATTTGTCTTGTTTGTATATGACAAGCGATTAGAGCCAAGATATCTCAGAATGCAATACTCAGAGGGGAAAAAAGTTGCAATTTCTCAGAAGGTGACTGTGGAATAGGAACTTCTGTAAGCTTCAGAAGCTCCTCTAAACCTCTGTACCAAATAAGAGTACAAGCTCTGCAGGAAGTAAGAATGAATTGCTTACATCATTGTAAATGTTAAAGAAGTTTGGTATCACATTGAAAGTTGAAACTCGTAAAATTGACTTGGAACATGTAGAACAAGAAAACTTGGCAAACTTTGTCATCTAAAAATTTTCAAATATATATGCTACTGCCATGAATCAGGATCCAAATGAACACGTAGAAGTCTTACATAAATTATGAGCCATTGATTTTACCAGCAGTTCAGATGATGATGCTATATTTCCTCATGTTCTGAGACTATCCTGCATTCATAGTCTATAAATAAAACTGTAAAGGAAGGAAATATGATGTGAAGTAAAACAGAACTTCTCTATGAGGAACACATAATTGGAGGGATTAAAAGTAAACAACTAGGAAGGCAACTTCAGAGAGAAACATACATCTATCCCATGAACTCCATGGACAAAAAATTGATAACCTGTACCAGCCAGCAGATAGGCTCCAAAGAACAAAAGATACTGGAGATAAAAAAAAAAATAGTTAGCAATAGTAACTTCTTTAGGACTAAGATAATAGCCATGTTGAAGGCATGAAAAGAAAGTAAACAAGAAAAAAGTAAAAATCCTCACATTGTGTGGAGGGTACCAAACCGGCCCCATTCTCTTCCATGAACAGATATGATTGTTACACAACCAGAAGGATGCTGCAGCATTGTGTCCTGTGAAAAAAGACGAAAAGATCCAGAAATACTGGTCTTGATGTCATGGCACAGGAAAACTTACTTACATTTTCATATGGAAACTGGCTACTGGCTCCAATTGCCTGCCTCCCACACTTGCCTCTCTCTCAAGACATGACCATAGGAAAGCTTAGTTAGTTATGTTTTCTTATGGAAATGACCTTTATAACATAACTGCTGACAGATACAGAAAAAGGTAACATCTAGCAATACTGAAATGATATTAATTCTCATAAATCTCATTAAGGCAAAACTTTCAAAATCATTCAGAACTATCATTCATACAAAATCCAATTCCTGAACAGCATGCTATGTCTTAGGCTGTCTATCTAAGAATGAGCAAACACACCTCAAATTCACACAATAAACACAATAGTTCCAAAAAATTTTAAGTCTACATTAAGTAAGAACTTAGAAGGCTATGCTCTAAACTAACAATGATTAAAAAATAATAAAATTTTCAGACACTGGCGTTATCTGCAGGTCCCTAATATCTCCATTGAATCTGGCCCCTACTACACAGCATTGCCAGTAAAGTATAGGTCAGACAAAATCAGGAATGAAGAATCACAAATGACCGACGCAGAGGGTGAAAAATTATGCTTTTCATTGGTTCTTGACATTCTAACAATGTCACCATTGTGAGGATTCCTTTTCATCTGTCATGCACATGAAGTAATTGAACTGGTAATGACCAATTCGTTCACCAGTAATTGTTTCCTCGCTTATAAAATCCATTCTATTAAACAGCATAAGAAACCGTGTATATCACAATCAAACAACAGCTAAATTTTCAACACTTAGTAAGTTGTAACACTCAAAATTGTACTTATTCTACGCCAGCATGTTTAAAATTCATTAACAGGTGCCAATTCACAGAACACGAGAGATCAAAAGACAAAGTCTTTAAGATCAAAAAAAAAAAAAAAAAGACTGAGTCTTTACACATAAAACTCCCATCTTGACATATTAAGTGCATAATTATCCGGAATTAGAAAGTACTCATCTTCGCTGAGGACTTCATGAGGGAACCTAGGAAGGGAAGAGGTCAAGCTAAACTTGTAGAGGTTGTTGCCGATGACGAAACTGAATTGCAGATTGAAGAGTCCGAGCTAACGCAGTAGAGAATCGGGAAGAGAATGAGGAGAGGCCATTTCGGAGATTCGACTCCATTATCATTTTTAGCCAACAAATGATCGTATTCCACTGTTTTTCGCCTTTTGCAAGAAATTTCTCTTATTTTCATGGCTGCTGGCCGAAACCGATTGGAGATGAACAGGACACAGCCGACAGGAAAAAAACAACCCTGCACATTCAGAGGAATTTAAACTTTGAGTTAATTGCTGAAGTTCCCCATATAATTCAAGATTTACTGTAATAAAACCCCTATATTATTTGCAAATTTTAGGGTATTAATTAGACCTAACCTTATGTATGTCCTTAAATTGCTCTCGGAGTTATCAAAAAGACAATCTCCCTCTTAGAAGTTAAAGAGGTAATGTCAAATTTCTAAAAAATTTAAGTTTATATATGGAACAATTGAAATTATTATGCGAGATAAATTTAACTTAAAAAATAAAAAATTTTATCTTAGTTAGAAATAATTTTCTCCTTCTCCAAGAATTGCAACTCAATCCTAGGTTGTTCAACGAGAGCTTAATTGGAAGTTCAACATATAATTTCAGATTTGCTGTAATAAATCTTGTTATTTTTTGCATAGGTACTTAAATTTTGGATAACCTGTGGTATTCATTAGACAAAAAAAAGTTTAGGGTGAAATTGAAAAAAATGATTAGATTCAGGGACTAATTCGGGGTTATTCTCCTAATTCATTTTTATTTTTATTTTTATTTTTTTACGTTGCCGAAACGGCCGCGTAGGGTAACTAGTGTTCCTCCAATAGAAACTCAGGCGGCAGCAAGTTGTACGGAAACTACAATGGAGTCTCAGTCGGCGGCGAATGCAAACAGCGCGTTAACAGACACGCGCTTCTCCGATCTCAAGCCGCCTCTATCGCAGCTGGTGCTCGACGCCTTGGCCGAAGCCGGTTTTGAGTTCTGCACGCCAGTCCAAGCTGCGACAATTCCGTTGCTATGCAGCTTCAAAGACGTTGCCGTCGATGCCGCCACCGGCTCTGGCAAAACCCTAGCCTTTGTCGTCCCTCTCGTGGAGATTCTCCGCCGCTCCTGCTCTTCTCCTCCCAAACCTCATCAGGTCCGTGCTTTGTCTATTACCATCTCGCTTCTATTTGATAGCTGAATTAAAGCAATGGAAATCCTGTTGATTGCCATACAAAATAGAAAGTGTTGCTAAGTTTCAATTTTGGGGATTATGGTAGCTAAAGATGAGGATTTGCATTTTAGTCCCTGTCTATGTTTATTGTGGGTGCTTTCTTCCGTTCTGTTTGGAGCTCTAAGAAATTTCCTGCGTTCTTTGAGCAATTTGTTTCACTTTGATGGCCCGATGTTGTTAGAATTTTCTGTGTTAAGTATTAAGCTTTGTGTTGGCGTTTCCAACAGGTGATGGGGATAATTATATCTCCTACAAGGGAACTTTCATCACAAATCTATAATGTTGCTCAGCCTTTCATTTCAACATTGCCAAATGTGAAGTCTATGCTTCTTGTTGGAGGTGTTGAGGTGAAAGCAGACATGAAGAAAATAGAGGAACAAGGGGCGAACTTGTTGATTGGCACACCGGGTAGGCTGTATGACATGATGGAACGCATGGATGTCTTGGATTTGCGTAACCTGGAGGTTATTATTTTACTGTTTGTCTCTTGGATGGGTTATGAAGACACACTTCATTCATTTTGTTCCCTTTTGTTGCTACAGATTTTGATTTTAGATGAGGCTGATAGGCTTTTGGATATGGGATTCCAGAAGCAGATAAATTATATTATTTCTCATTTGCCAAAGCTTCGTAGGACTGGTCTTTTTTCAGCTACTCAAACTGAAGCAGTTGAAGAGCTAGCCAAAGCAGGTCTGAGGAATCCAGTGAGGATTGAAGTCCGAGCAGAAACAAAGTTGTTAAATGATTCCACTTCATCACAACAATTAGCCTCATCAAAAACACCTTCAGGCCTTCACCTTGAGGTATATTTCTAGTTTTAAAGTGGGCTAGTTGTTATTATTATTTTTGCTAGATTTAATTGTTAACAAAATTCCTCATTTATTCTTAGCCACATTGTCACTGTGTTAGGGGTGTCCTGACAGATATATTTTTATTGAACCAAATTCTGCAGTGTAGCCTTTCTTTTTGTTTTCATATGTTTGAATGTCAAACAAATATAAGCATCCTATCTGCACTACTAGTACCGTGCTTTCTTCTTCCTCTAGTACAAAAGGTGGGAAGTTTGTAATAAAAAGATTTAGTATCATGTCTTTGAATCAACCTCCTCTTCCCCCCAAAGAAAAAAAGAAGATTGGAAGAGACATGGCTGAACGAAAATTTTCTTTTCCATACGGTATGCATCATCACTCAACATGTCATTTTTCCTTTGATTCTGCAGTATCTGGAATGTGAAGCAGACAAGAAACCGTCACAGCTTGTTGATCTCCTCATTAAGAACAAATCTAAAAAAATTATAATGTAAGTTATGCTTATGACTATCTTAAAATTTGGACAATGCAGTGTCATCCTATTCTAAATTTAATGAATTATTTTATGGTACGATGTCATTGTTTCATTGTTTCTGCAGATACTTCATGACATGTGCTTGTGTTGACTACTGGGGAGTTGTTCTCCCTCACATCACTGCTCTGAAGGGTCTGTCTTTGATCCCTCTTCATGGGAAGATGAAGCAGGTAAAATTCTGGAGGCCAGCATGATTCATGGATATCTAAGTTTGGAATTTATTAAGGTGATGAATGTATCTAATAGTTTGTCCATCCCTTTCACACTAAATAGACTGCAAGGGAGAAAGCCTTAGCTTTCTTTACAACACTTTCAAGTGGCGTTCTCCTATGTACTGATGTAGCTGCACGTGGGCTGGACATTCCAGGTGTTGATTGTATAGTGCAGGTAGCTTAATAACAACCTTGAATGTATAACCTATGTGTTCCATGAAGTATTACCAAGAGATAAAATTTAAAAGTTTATGTTGAGATTTATAACTATTTCCTTCTTGTTCCTGTTTCTGATTCTTGACTGATAATGATGGTATCTATGTCTATTGATTTTGCAGTACGATCCCCCTCAGGATCCGAATGTCTTTGTTCACAGAGTTGGCCGGACTGCCCGTTTGGGTAGACAAGGAAGTGCCATTGTTTTCCTGTTGCCAAAGGTGTAATTTTTCTTCCATATCCCTGTTTATGATCTATTTTTATTGAAATATGGCTTTTTATTTTTTCTTTTCATTTTCTACACATTTATTCTAAATATAGCTAATACTTTTACACATGCAGGAAGAAGCCTATGTTGAATTCTTGCAACTGAGAAGGGTTCCTCTTCAAGAGAGAAAAAGTACTGATGATGCTTCTGATGTTGTTCCTCAGGTTAGACCAATTCATATATTGTAATCCTTCATTCAGTTTACACTGCATGATGGGAGTTTCATCCTGAATGCCTTGTTCTGTCCATCCATGTTTTTTTCACCATGAGATGCAACTGTGGTTAGCCATCTGATAGTTGATATTGTCATCTCTGCAATTTGGGGCTGGGCATGGTTTGAAATGGGAGAGGGTTGTCTGTTGGGGTATTATACCTAGAAGGATTACAGTAAAATAATTAGTCCTGATAGAGACATAAAATACACTGTTAGCTCCACTTAATCCTTTGCAAGCCTGATTAGTCCTTTTTCTTTAGTTCGATGGTGGTTGCATAATACTTGCTGAAATTTGATGTCAATCCCCCTCCTTACTCTTTTATTCCAATGTTTTCCCTCTTATGATAGTAAATTTTGATTTCAGTGCATCTATCCTTTGGGCTGCTTTCTTTCATGAATGTTATCCCAGTCCTTTCCCTTGGTTTTGAAGTGTTTGATCCAGTACTATGTATTCATTTCTTCATGTCTTATAACTTGTTTTAGCTGCGGTCTGCTGCGAGAAAAGACCGTGATGTCATGGAGAAAGGACTAAGAGCTTTCGTTTCTTATATTCGTGCATACAAGGAGCATCACTGCTCGTACATTTTCAGGTTCTAACATTACCTTTTCCCTTGTGAAGTTGCTAGTTGCTTCTCTTCTTTTCACTCTCTACTTACATGGAGTTTTTTTTTTTTTTGTCCGATAGATGGAAAGAACTTGAAATCGGAAAGTTAGCCATGGGATATGGTCTACTGCAGCTCCCCTCAATGCCTGAGGTAAAGCAGCACTCACTTTCCACCGAGGGTTTTGTTCCAGTGGAGGACGTCAATTTTGATGAAATCAAGTACAAGTAAGAACTCTGCAAATTCTCTTTGTTTACCTTATTGAGCAGATGGACTCAACAGCTTTTTGGGCAAATTGAGAATGAAATATCTTTAATACTTTTCTTCATTAGCTGAATTTTAAAAGGATATATTAAAAGAAATGCTTTTGTAACGTTGCCTGAAATTTTGATAGAATTTGATTTCTAGAATACCTATTTTTCTTCTAGAGAAAAAATGAATATGATCTCTCCCTTAGTCCATTTTACCTGGATTTCCTGCGGCAGTCCAGAATTTATTGCAAGTACCAAAAATGACTTGTAAGTAGGAACATTCTAGAGGCAGTACCAATCGACTGTGAACCTTTTTATGTTTGACCTTTAAGTTTACTCATTCCTCGTGAACCTACCGAGACAGAGATTATGCATCATTATGACATAATCTATTTCAGTTGCTAATAATTTGCATTTTTTAGGGACAAATCTCGTGAGAAACAGAGGAAGAAGAACTTGCAAGCGAAAAAGGAACAGGAGCAACAAGAACAAAAACCCAAGAAGCCCAACAAAACTTCAAGTGCTTCAGCCACTACTGTCATGAGGAAGAAAACAGCCAGACAGAGACGTGCTGCCCAGTCAGTGGAAGATGAAGAGGAATTGACAAGGGAATACCGTCTGCTGAAAAAGCTGAAAAAAGGGGCTATCGATGAGAATGAATACGCAAAATTGGCAGGAATTGAGGATTTACTTTGAGGCATGTGATTTTGCAAATCTAGACAAAAATCAATCTTTGCTAGAATCCCAGCCTGGATTTCAAAAGCAAGAAATGAAGCTTCTCACACAGCCGGGGAAGCATTAAAATCTAAATGCTTGGCTCCTATCCATGAAGCTTACACCAACAAAGAGTCCTCCAGGAGCAAGGTGGGGTGATGGTTACCTAATACAAGACCTAACCTCCTTTGCTAGCGTTGGCTTCGGCCTTGGGATTCATTCCTTTTCTTACACATTTATTTCATTTCCAGGCACCGGGTCTGGTTTTTCTTAGGTCAGCAATAAAATTATACAATGTTTTGAGAAGGAAATTCAAAAAACATGTTGTATTGGTTTATTTATGAATATAGGAAATAGCAATCGAATTCCATAGTAAACGGTTTTGTTTCAGGTAAAGATCACATACTTTTAGAAATGAGTAAGGTTTTGATATTGTATCTTATTCTGATATCAGAATTTCCTAGTATTTCAGGTTTAATTCCTGCGCTTCTCCCAGAAGTTGAAGCCTACCTAACTGAAGAGTCAAAGATTGACACCAATATATTTGGTATTAATTTTTCGATATTCAGTAATTACATTGGATTCAAATTAATTTAAAATTTAATTGCGTCGGACTTCATTAAGAAGAAAGTCTTTCAATGCTTGTTTTTTCATTTACAAGAATCGAAGTTGAGACTTTATTTAAAAAAAATTAATGAGGTGGGTGGAATACCCACACGGAAACCACATAAGCCGCAAACGGGGTTTAGGATTGACACCAACATTGATCAATCACTTTGGCATTTTTTGTATGCAAACAATGGATAGAAGGAAAAAAGGAGGAGATATATGTACCTAAAAGACGGAGATGTAATTTGAAAAGCAGACTGCCTTTGTTTGGAAGTATTATCTCGAGCCCTCAACAGATAAACAAGCTGCCTCCGTCCATCACCATCTTCTTTCCTTGTCTCCCATAAAGACTGATGAAAGTGAGACACCCATTGTCTTCATATATGACTAATTTAGATAATCTTCTCTCTCCCTCTCCTCCTTTTTCTAAAAATTTTTCTTTCATTTCTAGCTTTGAATTTGACCCCCAGTTTGTCTTTCTAATCCCTTTACCATATTGGTGGAGAGAGAAGTTTCATGTTTTACACCATATATACCAAATACGGTCAAGTGGTTTTTTTGTTTTTTGTTTGTTTCGTTTTTTTCTTTATTATTGAAAAATAGTATGGGAGAGATTTGGTATCAAAATTAAGCAAAGGTTGACTCCGGGGAGATGGTTCCACATTATTTAATTAAACAAGGCTAAGTGAGGAATCTTTTTGAATCAGTAATTATTGTTGCCTCTTGTCTTTTCTTCCTCACTTTGATTCTACATGTAATTATATGCAGAAACATTGGAATTTATAATATATAAAATTTGCATGTATATGAAATTTTGTTGTTCTAAATAAATAAGCCTAGGAATTTATGTCCCTAAATTGGTATGAAATGGCACCCACCCTCCTTGTTTTTGCTAATTTTTTTTTTTTTAACAAAACAAGAGTTTGATTATTTAATATAATTACATAAAGAGATTTTATAGGTTGAATTATATCCTAAAAGTATATTATTTAATTTATAAAATTATTAAAATATTTTTAATAAATTTATTTTATTTTTATCAAATTTGCGAGAGGTTGGATTCAAACCGTTGTCCTAAAAAAAAAAAAATACACTTATACGTGATTTGATGTCATTAAACTCAAAAGCCCAAATGCTTTATATTATTTTATTTGTACATCAAACTTATAAAATATGAATATAGTATAATTAATTTTAGTAATATAACGTAGGAAAGTTCGAGTGCACTCCACTACTAGCTCCTCACATGCTAGAGTTGACCTTATCAACTTAATTACTCTTCTTTTACTTAATTAATTATAGTCTGTCTTCTCTAATCTTAATGTTTAAGAATTAATCAAGACGTAAAGATTACCTTTATGATTTTCTTTAATATTAAGGAAGCCATTTAAATTAAAAAAAGACAGTACATGACATTTTTTTTATTATTAAGAAACCATGTCGTGTCCGAAGACGCTCTCTCGATTCAGAGAGTAGTCGGGAATTACATTGCTAGATGAAGAAGAAGCAAAGTTGAAGTACTGAGGGTGGAGAAGGAATGACTTGTCCTCTGGTTCGTCTATCGCAGCCGGAGCAGGTATCACCGGTTCTTGCTGCATCTGGATGCAAAGTATTTCCGCCTGAGCCACCGCCAGCTGCATTTGTAGCTCGGAAACCTGGTTCTGAAGGTAAGATATGGCGCCAACGCAGCCGTAAACTGGGTCTCTCATCCTTGCGTTTGCTTCGTACACCAGGCTGTTCACCGCGTCCGCCCTCTGATGAACCGGAAGCTCCTGTTATAAAAATAAAAGATAATCACTACTTTAGTATATATATACTCACTTCCAAACCTCAACTCGGAGGCCTAAAGAAAGTAAAAAAGAGAAGTAGGGAGAAAGGGAAGGACCTGCAGCATTTTACTGACGTTGCTGGCGCCGAAAACCTTATGAACAATGGCAAATTTCTGGGGGTCATCAGAGGGGAAGTAAGGAGCAAAGATGCAGTCCTTGGCGCAACGGCGGCGGAGGAGCTTGCAGGAAGCACACGGTGAAGTTCCTCCCATTTTGTGTTTGGTGAGAGAAAGGGGATTAAGTAAAGGAGAGGTATGTGCTAGGGAAGTGAGATATGATGAAGAGAATGAGTAGCGAGTGTGTCAATTTATAATAGCGCTGGGAGAACCAACAGATTAACAAGCCAATTAATGTTTTCCAATAAAAATTAAAAATAATAAGTTGTTTAGTTTTTTCTTTTTTTCCTAGTTTAGTTATTTACGTGTTTTTGAATTAGTTTATGTGTATTTTAAATTTTTCTATTAGTCAACGATAAGTTATTATGCATTTGTACTAGTAAATTCAAAAAAAATTATATTCTTATTAGTCTTTTTAAATAATCAAACTTTAGTTGATAAGATGAAGAACAAATCTTTTATCAACTAAGTTACAATTCCTTAAGCTTAGATTTATTAATTATATTATCACATATATTATATTATTTTTGTGTTTTTATACACAGTGTTTTTTCCCCAAAAAAAAAAAAAAAACAAGTAGTATACAAATAGTGTGGTTTTTCTTTGTAAATACTACTATATATATATGTAAGTACTTGGTTAGGAGACTAATTAATTATAGGGGTCATGGTTTGATAAAAAATAATTAGAGATCATGATTCGATCCAATAACTGAATTCCGCGTGCTAGTGGGGTCATTTGGAGCAACATATACATCTTGAAGGGCATGTGATGAGTTTAACGGGGTCTTAATTTGGCATATCAAGAACAGACATTTTTTAACCTGATGATGGTCAGTTTTTGAGTTCACATGAGTCCAAAATAGAACCATTGGCTCAATAAACATCAAATGATGCTCATTTTGGCTCAATAAACATCAAATGATGCTCATTTGAACCAATGATTCTATTGAATAAAAAACATCTCATGAGATAACTCTGTTGCTGATTATGATCTTTGCACATGGGTAAGGTTACTTTCTCCCTTATCATCAACAGGAAGCTAGGTTGTATCCATTTCTAAGTCAATTCATGATTAAGCTTTATTTGGCCATAAATATTACCTTTCGGTAATCTTAGAGTTAGCTTCTTAATATTAAAGAGGTTGAACTTTTGATGTTAACATCAAATTAAAGTTTTCTAATTATTAAATGTACTTATTGCTAGCCAACCGAGTTGATTAATTTTCAATAAAGCAATACATATGTTTCAAGAATAATGGGTATCAGTTTATATTATAAAAAATTAGATAAAAAATACTTTGAAATTATGTTGTTTTAATGAAGCATAACAAAAAAAATTAAAATAATTTCATTCTTGCTTTAAAAATTAAGATATTTTAATCTTTTTAATGAAATTTTATTAAAATAATATAATTTTAAAGTTTTTTT